CTTTATTTCTGTCACTTTAGGTTGCTGTTACTATATATTAAAAGCAACATAGTATTATAATTTAGATTGAAACGTATTGCTTAATTTAGCCTTGACAGTAGTCTTAATATTAATGACAATTTTAATTTTCTTGATCTCCTTTGGTTGTTTAATAGTAATTTGAGAGAATGTTGTGACAGATGCATACAGAGAATACCAGATCAAATGACTAGTGTACAAATGAACGGTGTAGGAAATGGGGTCGTTATAGGCCTCTGAATTTGTAAAATTTGATAAAACACTGGTGCTTAAGGTATGAACAGACAAATGGGTGAGGGATAATTAAAAATAAAGGGGTATTCAGAAACAATTTAAACTTTATGCAGATTTGCAAATAGTTGGTGTAACTAGGCTACATAAAACAATGTATTGAAATGTGACCAAAAACAAACAATACTCAATGACATAAACAAATTTCAAAGACAAACATGCGTGTGAATTCCCATCTCGACAAAAATACATAGAAAAACCTATGTTTTTATATAGTCTCCGACAATATTGGGTAATTTACAAGTGCTCTGAAAGCTTATTCCTGCTAATCCTCTGCTAACCTCCGAAGTTACAAAAAATACCGTGCCCACCACCACGCAAAATGACCCACCATGCAGTCATTTTCGCCGCGCGCACCTCTGCGAGTATAAACCAAGCTTTAAGTGGTGACAGTCGCACGTAGCGGTGACAGGTCGAATGACAGCCGATATGCGAAGACACTAGGTCGAGTGACAGGTTCCGGTGTTCCAGGCAATTCGGTTTCCCTGTGTATCAGGAAATAATGCTTCCCCTAATATTAAAGCAAAGAAGTATATGAAATGTCTGAAAATCACTCAGGTACATTATTACATGTGAATACTGTATATCGTCACGCATAATATAGTCTTATAAGCAATACTATACCCTTTTCATCAATAAATATCTCTATCCAGCGAATTAAATACCTTCATTTATTATCAGTAAAAACAAAAAACATCGAAAAGGCGTGTAATGTTTTCAAATATATGGCTAGTTTACCTCAAGAGCTTCGTAAAAAGACATGAAAACAACAGCGAAACCGTGTACAAATCAGCGCGTGACAGGGGAAACATAGGGAAACTGAATTGCCCGGAACACCTGGTCCCGTGAAATGCGCGCATGGCCGTGCCGGGTCCGTTGCCATGCGCATATAACAGTGAAACATCGAGTGCCATGCTCATGTGGCAGTGACATGTGGAGTGGCAGCTGCCACTGCCATGCGCACGTAGCGGTGACATGTCCAGTGCCATGCGCACGTAACGGTGACATATCGAGTGGCAGCTGCCAGTACCATGCGCACGTAGCGGTGACATGTTGAGTGGCAGCTGCCAGTGCCATGCGCACGTAGCGGTGACATGTTGAGTGGCAGCTGCCACTGCGATGCGCACGCATGGGTGACATGTTGAGTGGCAGCTGCCAGTGCCATGCGCACGTAGCGGTGACATGTAGAGTGGCATATGCCCGAGGCACGGAAAGATTTTACTCCCTCTGCCATCCATCCATCCATTTACTTTCGCTTATCCGAGGTCGGGTCGCGGGGGCAGCAGTCTCAGCAGGGAAACCCAGACTTCCCTCTCCCCGGCCACTTCCTCCAGCTCCTCTGGGGGGATCCCGAGGCGTTCCCAGGCCAGCCGAGAGACATAGTCCCTCCAGCGTGTCCTGGGTCTTCCCCGGGGCCTCCTCCCAGTGGGACATGCCCGGAACACCTCACCAGGGAGGCGTCCAGGAGGCATCCTAAGCAGATGCCCGAGCCACCTCATCTGGCTCCTCTCAATGCGAAGGAGCAGCGGCTCTACTCTGAGTCTCTCGCGAATGACCGAGCTCCTCACCCTATCTCTAAGGGAGAGCCCAGCCACCCTGCGGAGAAAACTCATTTCGGCCGCTTGCACTCGCGATTTTAAGTTTAAAAGTATCTCGGGACTCCCTCTGCATTATAGGTTACTCCGTTACGACGTCATCCATCCTAGGCTGGCCCTCGCGAGCACAGAGTTACATCTCTCTCATTGGCCCAACCTGTGAACGCCCCCTCTGCGCTATTGGTTGAATTTCATATCAATTCTTTTAGGTCTCGGAAGGCGTGGAACTCAACTCAGAAAAATGGCGGCATGTGGATTTCGCTTCTAGTTTCTTTTTCATTATTGGCAATATTACTATAATTTAGATGAAAAATCAGTAGTGATTTTTCAGTTTACAGAACGTCGATCATAGCTAGACTTGCGTGTTGGATGACTGTGTTGTCGTGTCGCTTGTATTGTTTGTAAAATGTTTATTTTTGCTAATTCAGATGCATATCCAGGCTTATAACGGATACGGTTATTTGTAACATTGCTGTTACTTTATAAGAGGCTTTTTAAAATCCGTGAGTATAAAAAATCCTTTGCCTTTAGTCCTGATATAGAAAATGATGATTTGTTTTCATTATTTTATTTAAATCCATTTAGCATAATCGTTACGTTGTATTTTGTTTTGCAGGCATTACACTTAGCATTTAGCGGCGTGCTTTTGAGATGAATGGCAGAGTGATACCCAACACACCTTTGGCCGTAGACTTCTGGCAGGTGCGGAAGTGTGGCCACGTACGTCTCTTCTTCCTATCTCACATGCACAGTGACCACACGGTGGGTTTAACATCTACGTGGGCTAACCGACCCATATACTGCTCTCCAATCAGCGCAAAGCTGCTCAAGTTTAAATTGCAGGTGGGTTCCTCTGGGCTATGGATGGGGTTTCTGGCGCTGGTGTCGGGAACCACCATAACAGCACGAGAAAGAGCTATTTCAGCAGATCAGTTTCGCTTTGCGGGAAAATTAAATTAAATCACGTTCATTTGTCGATTCTTGAAAAGGTTGCTCCGAATGACATATTTACAAAACAGGTAGAGTCCCACATTACACTTTGAGTACGTTAGTGGTATTATATTCGAACATTTATTAATATGCGCTGGTTAATCATGTCCCCCGTTTTTGTTTAGAAAAATATAAAAATTCGCCGTTATGCCTTGTATTTCAATGTAACCTTTTTAGGACGTTTTCTGAAGCCAGAAAGTGCCCTAGCAGTAGGGGTATTGTTCCATCAACTTTTTTTTCTTGATAAATAAGGTCTATAGAGATTTTAGGAAAAAAAAGTTCTCCATGCACAAGCCTGCAGTTTTGGAGAAAAGGGGCTAAAGTTGATTTTAAAAAATACTAATTTGGGGTCTACCTGTGGATCCCTAAAGGGTTAGCTCTCTTGATGGCTAGATGTGAATTAAGATTATGTAGAAATTTATACTTTTGTTAATTTAGCACAATAAGTGATTCTTCAGATCTTTTATTTTCATTAATATGTCATACAATGCATAGAACTGGGGTCTCCAACTCAGGTAAATACCAGGAACTGGTGTGGCTCATCACAAGCCGGGTACAACAGAAAGCCTACAGGGCAGCGGCTCATAGTGGACTGGATTTGGAGATCCCTGGTTTACAGAATTTGATATGGTGTTCCAATTAAATTAAATTATGATAAAAAAAAATTCTAAAAAGCAACTGCAGCAGTTACTTTGTAACAGCTTTGTTACATCTCCTTCATTAACTGCGGGATATATCGTGGAGAACTTTTTGTAATAGGATATTAATGTGTAAGGCAGTGTTTCCCAACCCAGTCCTCAGGGACCCCAGGCAGTCCATATTTTTATTTTCTCCCAGCTCCCAACATACCAATCCAGGTGTTCTGAGTTCTTGATTGGTTAGAAGCTGGGAAGGAGAAAAAATGTGGACTGTCTGGGGTCCCTGAGGACCGGGTTGGGAAACACTGGTGTAAGGTATGCATACGATCAAAATTTAGCGCGAACAAAACTTGTTGGGCTAGCCATTTGCCAGGTTATTTTTACTCTTGTTGATCTTTACTGTGTATTGATAATCACCAGTACAAATTTAATTACATTGTAATTTCTGTACTTTTTATCTAGGTTCCTAAGTTGTATCATTGTTAGTTTGCAGGTTACATTTCACGATATTGATAGCCAGCTGTGGCATTTAAAATTGTTTTTCAGTTTTTCGTATCTATTGAAAGCTTCTTTTACTGCAGATGCCAGTATGTATAAGACAACAGGAAACACCAACTTACCAATTTACAGGTTTTTTTTCCCCTCAAATCGCTCTAATTGCATATCTCCTTTTTTACACCACGAGCAGGTGTTTTGAGTATTTAAGACCAACAGTTTTGGATTGTAATGTGACATTAAGGTTTCCTTTTTGCCACTCTGCCAGCTGTTTCACCGCACTAGGTGCAGATGGTGTTCTTGTAATTCAACCCAGTCCAGAGCTGCTGCTATGTCTTGCATCCTTCTGAAACACAGGTAAGAGAAAAATGGATCCATGCTCTGGAAGTGGGCGAGGCACACAAGCTCCCTCTAGATGACGTGGGGAAGGAGACGCTAACGGTTACGCTCATGGAAGCCAACCACTGTCCTGGGGCAGTCATGTTCCTTTTCCAGGGCTACTTTGGCACTATCCTCTTTACAGGTGAGTGGGGGGGGGAGTGGGGGTGACACCTTCACATTGTTAAGAATTGTTTTTGTAATGTTTTTCCACAAGCTTGTTGTGCTGGATTGTTTGAAAGAAAATACCCTAATTCTGTGAAATAAGATGAAGCTTTATTTGCCATTTGCACAAGTACGAGTAGAGTTGTGCTGGAATGCTTATTGTTGGATTTTTCCATCTTGCTCTCCTGTGGTTGGGCGGACAGCATTTATTGGTAATTTATTTAGTACCCCTGGAATATTTGGGGGCCTTACTCTAATACCCCCAGAACGTTTTGAGGCCCTTGCTCTAGTACCCCTGGAACATTTGGGGCCCTTGCTTTAGTAACCCTGGAACAAGTTACCAATATCTTAAGAGAATGGAGGACCAGCATATCCTCTGCAATGCAAGGTCTGGAACTGCACATGCCAGTCTTGAGATACTTAGTACTTATAATTAGTTGTACTTTCAGTTCATATCAGACGCAGCAATTCCATCAGATAGGGTAATACTGCACTGATCCTGGAGGAAAATTCTTTTGCATACACTTTGGAGGTATATTAAGTTCACAGATATAAACACATTGTGCAATAGCAGTGCAAACATGGCACATGCACTGCAAATGATATTTTTGAGGAATTAAATATAAATTAGTTAATGATGAGATAAATAAAATACTAATTAATTGTGGATAAGTTAGGTTAAGTTAAGTCAGGTGCGGTCTGTCAATGCTTGGCTTTGAACAAGAGGTTTTGATTTATTTAAAACAAAGAAAAGGACAGAGAGAGAGAAAAAGAGAAAAAAAATACATAGCCCTAGGAGTGCTGGTCATGTGATGTAGGCCACGATCCACCCATGTGTTGTAGGCTGTAGGCAACGATCCACCCATGTGTTGTGCTGTCATTGATGCAAGTGGCCTACGGCCGCAGGGGACTTCCGTTACACGGCAGCCATGCTGCGGCAGCCCAGCCTGATGAACCACATCAGCATCGACGTGCTGTACCTGGACAACACGCACTGTGACCCCACTCGCTCCCTGCCCTCCCGCCATCAGGCCACCCAGCAAATCAAGGAGATCATCCGGGCACACGCTGGGCACGATGTGGTCATCGGTGAGATCCCCGCTCCTTTCTGTCTCGGCTGTCCATCCAGTTCTGTTGTTCGGCCTTCCTTCCAAGACCATTCAAGTCCTGTTTTGTTTCCTTTTGTAATAAGTGCAGTCATCTGCTTTTTAAAGATGGGGCAATTATGGGTTCTTATGTTGATTATATTATGTGCAGTGTATGGTGCAGTCAGGAGCCTGTGAGGTCTGACTGTGCCAAGCATGGTTGCTTTGACCCAAGTCCTGCTCTCAGCCTAGTGCCTGAATAGGTTTGGCTCTGCAATTAGTGGCCCATATATGCCTATTTATTTGCATGCCCTTACAGGCCTCTATACCTTGGGCAAGGAGACCCTTTTAGTGCAGCTGGCCCTGGAGTTCAGGACTTGGGTGGAGGTGAGCCCCGAACGCATGCGGATTCTGCATGTGCTGGACCTGCCTGATGTCTTTACCACTGAGCCTGGCGCCGGTCGCATCCGAGTGGTGGACCATTCTGAGGTATGTGCTGCGAACCTGGTGCTCTGGAACCGGCAGTGGCCCACTATAGCCATTCTGCCCACGGGTCGACCGGTAATCGGCACTCACCCCAGCGTGCATGTTGTGCCCTATTCTGACCACTCCTCCTACCAAGAGCTGGAGGACTTTGTCTCAGCCCTGCAGCCAGCCTCTTTGGTGCCCATAGTAGGACCCTGTGTGCCCCGGCTCTCCGCTTTAGTGTCACCCCGCAAGCGATGCCGCCCCACCATCATTCCAGAGTCTGTCCGCCGGGGCATGATCCAGGGACTGGAACAGGAGTCTGCCGTTTGCTCCCGCTTGGCCATAACGGCGCGTCCTGCTGCCAGCGGTGTGGTGTTTGAATCTCCCCAGAGGGCACAAGCATCCCCCTTCAGATACAAGCCTAGCCCCTCTGTTGAACGGGACTCAGATGTAGATGAGGATGGACAAGGTGCTCATTCATCCCTGCACCACACAGTGTCTGAGCTCTGCCCTGGGGACACATGGGTGCCTAATGGCACCGCAGGACTTGTGGATGACTCGGAGATAGCTGAGAGTTTTTTCCTCAGCCAGCTTACTCCAAGTGACTGGATGCTTTACCCTCCAGGCCCCCTGCGGAGTCTAGGCCCATCACTGAAGCCTAAGAGCAGGCAGCCTTCACCCAAAGCTAATGGGTACCATCAGCCACCAACCATGTTCCCAGAGAGGGGGAGGACAATTCCTGGCTCTCAGGGGGCCCATGGTAGTGTTGACAAAGACCCAATTCCTTCCACCAAACTGCATGACCCAGAGCTGATTCTGTTAGAGGAGCCCTTGACCTTCCTTGATGAAGAGATCCATGGAAGGTTTGAATGTATTGGGTGTGACTCCATAAACAAGTACCGGCTGGTCCCTTGGAGCACATGTCCAAAAGGATGCAGCACCTTCCACGTTGCTGTGGAGCACTTCCTCATGGCCTGTAGAAATTAGGTTATAGGCTGCTGTCATTCTCCAGGTTCCTCTGTGCTGTGATATAAATCATTGTTGGCCAAGTTCTAATTCAGGAAGCTCACCATTTCCACGATCTTTTGGTTCACAGTGGTATAATTCATGTCGGGTTATTCAGGAAGCTCTTATTGCCAGTAATGTTCCCTCATTTGTGAAGGACCAGGACATCATCCTCTCTGAATAGTTGTATTGTTTCTCTACATTAATTAATTTCTTTTTTGGAATACAACATGGAAATGTTCAGACACTAACTACCTTCACGTTTTTTTGTTAGGTGAAAAACTTTTAGTTGTCCAGGGCACCTGTATTGTTTATGCCTGTAAAATGTATTTAATATTTCTTGTCTTAATAAAGTCTTTGGCCCATGTCCTGGAGTCTGAGCTGAATAATTGGTTGTCTGCTTGCCAGCTGTGGCCCTGACTCTCTTTTTGTATTATTAATAACATGATATTTTCTAACACTTGCTTGCATTATATTGTCATGGGATTCCACTTATAACATTAGCTTGTTGTCTGAGAGTGCTGGTAATAACTCTGTCCTGGCTGCTACATAATGACATTTTCTCAAAACAGCCAACGGAAACCTAGTGATAAAGGTCCTCAAGCCCGGACCCTTTACCCCGAGAGGACCAGCTGCATTTTTTAAATACAGTTTTACAGTGCTAAAAATTCCTGGTATTTCAGTTCTGTTTACATTTGTACCTGGGCATTCATTGGAAACTCAGCCAAGCTCCACTTCCTTGAGAGATGTGCGCTATTTGTCTTATTAAAATCATCTGCTCTATACTGTCATTTTTGTCCTTTCTTCCTAAGGCTGATCGGTGTCAAAACCAAATGTCAGACTTCACTTTAGGATTAAATGAAAAAGTTACTATTAATGCAGAATACTATATTATTTTCTCTCAAGAACATAAGTAATTACAGAAAACTTTATATATACACATTTCCATCAAGTAGTGTCGCTGTTACAATCCCAGGTCTAGGTCTAGGGTTAACATTGTTATTATTTTGGGTTAGGACTGAAAACGCCACAGACACCAAAATGTAAGATAAAATTAGAAGATATGCGTTTATTAACGCATGTGGCAAGTAAAGTGACAAATGACAAGGACAAAAACAATACCTGACTGGTGGGAGGCTATAGGCAGTGTCAAAGAAAAACAATAAGCAAAAGGGCTAAATGGCTTTGAACTTAAATAACCTACCTATCCATTTAATCCCCAAAGGAGAACTACTCAACCTTGCTCTAACCAAAAGTACATAGGTTGCCTGCCCCCTAAACTGGTGTGACTAGACATTCAGAATTTGTGGCAAATGTACACGCGTGCACATACAAACTGAGCCCCACCACCTTAGGAGTCAGGCACCAGTATCTTGGCTACTGTTACGTGCCGTAAGGGAGATACGTGTCGTAAGTTCAGGGTACGTGCCGTAAGTGTTATGTGCCGTAAGCTCAGGAGGATGCCTACAGGGTTCTTTGGACGTTCTGCTCACTCACCCATTGATCAACCGCTCCCTCGACTCCGCCTTCTGGACCTGGCCCCGCTTCCCTTGCCTTCGGAGCAGTTTCCGGTTCGTGAACAGAAGAGGCTGCAGCTTCGTCATTTCGGCTACCCGCTGCTCGCTTCTCGCCTGCTAGCTCGCTCTTCATTCGCTTTGCCTTTGGTTTGATTGCTCGTGTATGACTTTTGTTCTTGATTTCTGATTTTCGCCTCGCCCTTATTGTACTTTCGCCCTGGTTTTGACTGCCTGTTCGGTTTTGAACTTTCGCTTGTACAGTACTTCGACTTCGCCTCTTTGATCTCCCCTCTGGATACTGTCGCTTCGACTACACTACCACAATGAGCAATTCGTCGTTCAGGATAAAAATTCTCGCTCTTAAGCCATCACGGTGTAAACGTGTACCAACATCAAGCACATCATGCAAACGACAATCCCTTTTGATTCCTGCAAATGCTGAGTCAAAACGAGGATCGAGCTTCTGTAAAGTGCTTTGGGTGTCTTGAGAAACACTAATGAAAATGTACCATTCATAAATTATACTAAAAATATGAAAATGTAAATTTTAACATGCATTTGACAATTCAAGTCTGTTCAATACTTGCATGGACTGGGTGTTGGGCAGGGTCATGGGGTTCAGAGGCTGTGGGGCATCTGTTGGTTAAGAAAGATTCACTGATCTTGACTTTACCGACGATGGGCTCTTCACCGAATGAAGGCCCTAATCAGGGCTCTCGAGAGACTGAGCAAGGAGTCTGAGTGTCTCAGCTTGCGAGTGGCCTGGATAAAATCCAAGATCCAGGCCTTTAATGACCTCTTGGGCACAGGCTGTCAGCAGTGTGTCTGTCTGCAGAGAGGATGTTGACTGCATCGAGAGGTTCACTTACCTCGGCAGTGACATTCATGTCTCTGGTGACTCTTCCTATGAAGTCAGCAGATGGGTTGGAAGAGCATGAGGGGGTCATGAGGTCACTGGAAAGGGGTGTGTGGTGTTCCCGATGTCTTTGTATGAGGACGAAGGTCCAAGTCATTGGAGTCCTAGTGCTCCCTGTGTTATGGCTGCGAGACATGGATGCTATCCAGTGACCCGAGACGAAGACTGGACTCCTTTGGTACTGTGTCTCTTCTCTTCCCTGTGAGGGTGATCTGGGTTGCAGGATCCTAATTGCTGAGGCCCAGGCAGCTTAACCAGGCCAAGGGGATGCCCACCTAACACCTGGCAGTTGCAGACAACAGTCATTTCAGGAGAATGGGACTGGAGCACGTGTCTGCCTGGAGGGTCGTCTGCCTGGAGGGTCGTCAGCCAGGATCCCAAGGTGTTTCCTCATGTAGTGGGTGTGACAACGCGATGCACCAGTGCATGCTCCCTGACCTGAGAATTTTCAAACATGTTTGTAGCTTTTAGGTGATATGCTTGATGCACTTATTTTATAGTGAACATGCTATTTCAAAGATGGAAATATCACGTAAACATGTTCCTTACATAAGTGGTTTGCAGACTTCTTGTCTGGGGACCCCCCCAAACATGGGCTCAGAAAATGATCTCACCATTCATCCCAGTTATTGGGCAAACAGTTTGAGAACCACTGCCTCATGGTGTTAAATTCATTGATGGTGCATCCTCCATACACCACAAGATGGCAGTAGTCTTCCATAGCAACAAGGGCTGCTCCCATAACAGTGTGCACTTTTGAAGGGTTTGCGAAACACTGCCTTACAGTACATTCAGAAAGAATGCAGATCCCCAAATTTTATCACATTTTATGTTGCAGCGCTGTACTAAGAAAATTTCAATTTATTTTTCCCTCACTAATTTACACTCAATAGCCCATAAAGACAAAGTGAAAACTGGATTTATGAAATTTTGGCAAATGTATTACAAATAGAACACTGAAACATCGTATTGACATAAGTATACAGACCCTTTGTTATGAGGCTTGAAATTTAGCTGAACTGCATCTCATTTCCATTGATCATTTGAGATTTCTGTTGACCTTTGAGAGGATTCTTTAACATGTTTGGAGTCCACCTGTGGTTAACTTAACATGGTTGACATGATTTGGAAAGGAGCACACCTGTCTGTAAAAGGTCTCAGTCGACAATGTATTTCAGAGCAAAAACCAAGCCACGAAGTCAAAGGAATTGTCTGCAGAGCTCAGTGACAGGATTGTGTTGAGGCACAGATCTGGCAAAGGCTACAACAAAATTAGCAGCATTGAAGGTCAAGAGCACAGTGGGTTCCATAATTCTTAAATGGGAGTAGTTTGTAATAAACAAGACCCTTCCTATTGCTGACTGCCCAGCCAGGACCTTGGTAGGAGAGGTACACTGCGCATGGACTAATCAGGGGGAAAATTAATTTAAATGTTATTATAAAGCTGAAATAAAATGTGGAAAGAACAGGGTCGGTATATTTTTGAATACAGTGAACAGTATGTAATGATTGCATTCTTATGCTAAACTGACGTGAGCACTTATTTAACATTGGTTAGGAAATCTGCATTATGTGTTTTAAGGAATTGTTGAGTTTTCAGGATAGGGGTTTTTTTTTTAAAAAAGAAATGGCTTAAATCAAACTTGAAATGATTTCAGGAAGCACCTTATTTCAGATATGATGCTTAATTGGAATTAATTTTTGTGTATTCTAGCTTGAGTTAAAACCTTAATTATCTCACCACACCACCAAAACATTTTTTTTCCAAATTAGCATTTTAGAATGAATTTTTTTCCTTAGCAATCGATGGATAATTAGTCTGTTAAATATGTGTGTCTGTGCAGGACTAGTAAATTGTGTAACTACACAGCGGACTGTAGATATCTGTGTAGAAGCGCACATGACTAGTGACCACTCCAGCACTTGGTGTTAATAGCAACCATGTCTCTGGCACCCTATTGCATCATAGAGGGATTTACTGATTTATTATGAATGGTGAAGGGATTGGAGGACCAGGGCCCAGCAGACTGCCAAGGGGAGAATTCTGAGCGAATGTGCACATGCACACAGAGGATCGGGTGCCCTATGTGTCAGGGTATGCAGCAATAGAAAAAAAAGGTCCCATTTAATCCATCTTGGCACAGTTATAACTTCACCAGCCAAAATCTTTGCCTTTGTTCCTCCCACAGAAGACAGACCTGCATCTTATTCATCACCTGGCTATCACCCAGGCACTGATTTTGCTGGTGTATAATCTCTTCATAGGGTTATTACCTTCAAGTTAAATCCACTCCCCCCTAAGTCACAAATTTTGATGTGCATTACCACTTAGCTCATATTTTATATGTACTCTGTGCTCTCTGTGTACGTCATACAACATTTGACCTATTTACACTGCTGGGTGGTGCCATGGCTCATGCTATGATTCCTGGGAGAGGCTTGGGTCTCACTGGCAAGCTGCACTGGATCAAGTGTATGAATGGATGTTACTTCAGTCATTCAGGGTTAATATTCCACTAAAGGCTCTAAGGGCTTTTTCCCTTCCTGAAGCATTTAACCTGACTGAGCAGCAGCTGGCTTTTCCTGTGGGAGTGATACTCCTTTTGGAGAGGAGTCTGATTAAAAGAAATAGCACCTATAGTATAGCCCACCCCCCCTTGCAGGACCCCCCTTCCTCCTCCACCTGAGGTTTAGCCCACTGACCCAGTAGGAACCCCCTTTCTCTTCTATCTGAGGTATAGCCCACCCCCCTTGCAGGACCCCCCTGTGGGAGTGATACTCCTTTTGGAGAGGAGTCTGATTAAAAGAAATAGCACCTATAGTATAGCCCACCCCCCCTTGCAGGACCCCCCTTCCTCCTCCACCTGAGGTTTAGCCCACTGACCCAGTAGGAACCCCCTTTCTCTTCTATCTGAGGTCTAGCCCACCCCCCATTG